TATAGAAATATATTATAACATTCAGTACTGAACTAATCAATTTTTTTCCTAAGTAATTAAAAAAATGATTTATAAGCTCTCATATTTAAATTCGTATAATAATATATAGCAGCGACAATTTTTTCTAATTTTTTTTTAAATTTATTATTTATTTTTTAAATTTACCTATTATCTACTTATTATCTATATTCTATCTATTATTACTTTTTTTCGTAAATATGTTATCTTGTTTGAAAGAGTATTTATTTAAAAAATACTATTACAATTATTACATATTAAATTCAAGAAAATTGATTCTCTAAAAATATTTTATTCTACTTTACTAAAAAGATAAAGATTTTTCATAAATTATATTTCTATATATTTTAATTCGTAAAATCTAAAAAAATACAATATTTTAAATTCTAAAATTATAAGCTCAGATTACTGTACGATTTCGAGAATTTCCATTATTTTATTTTAATATTACTCTTTTTTATTTTAATATTACGTTTTCAGATAAAGATAATAAACAAGTTGTAGTTTTTTATAAAAGTACCAACAATATATAAGCAAAAGAAAATCTTCCAATGATTATGCTTTGTCACAAATTTTGTAAGACTTCTTTCTGTCTTAATCGATATTCTGTTGGTGTAAGCATGCCCCTGAAAAATAATGGAATTTTCATATAGTGATATCAAAAATCAATTCAATAAAATTTTGATAAAAATATTCATATTAAATTCATAAATAAAATTTTATAATATTGAAATAAGTTTTTTATACAAAAATTATTCATTACAATATAATATAAGTGATGGAAATTGAATTAGTAATGAGCAAGTATATTTGATTGAAATATAATAGTATAAACTGCAATTTTTTTAATGTCATGAAAAATAGAAGATTAATTTTTTTAAATCAAGTTAATTTACAATCTATTAAAAATGATTCATATTTAAACCTTAAAACCGTATCAAAAGAAACGCAAACGCCTTTGTCACACATTTTTTTGTAAAGATGCCAACATTCCTTTTCTTTGTTGGTTTGAAATTGTGGTTCAATAGATTGCATATGTTGAAGAGTTTCCTTTGAAGGTAATATACATGTAGTTTTTGTCTGCAATTTTTATAAGATTTTTTTCTTAATAATTAAAAATGAATTTATATTTGATAAATACATTTGACAAAATATTTATATGTCTTACATTCACAATAGAATTATTTATAGTTGTTTTGGATTGTTGTGCGGAAACATCGATTTTTCGGGAGATTATTATCGGTGATTCTTGTGTCTCTCTCTTTATTTTCATAGATGTTATCTGTCTTTCTATTCCACTGTAAAACAATTTATAATATATTCTTATTATTATTTATAATATATTCTTATTTAAACAAAATATATTTTCTTTTATAAAATTATAAAAAAAAAATATGGATAAAAGAAAGAAAAAGATGAAAGAAATATATTTCCATTTGATATCTTAAAGAATCAATCGATCATGCTTTTTTGCTACCTTTGAATATAGAGAAAATGTATTATAAAAATTATTAATACAATTCGTTCACGATCTTTTCTTTTTATTTCCATTATATTATATATATTTGATCTCTTATCGTTTTATTTTTTTTTTTCATTGATATTATATTGATTATCAAACTTATTGTTGAAATAGAAATTATTATATCTAATATTGCCACTAGATTATTATGAATTCATATTATCGGGGCGTTCATCAAGAAATCAATTAAATTCTATTTTTTATACTTACGATCGTGTATTACGAGTTTTCAATAATTTCTGTTTTTTATCATGTAAATCACAAATAGGCACAGCCAGACATCTCTTTTCGCGATCAGTCAACGGAACATCAAGCGGCTCTTCAATATCGTGAATCAATGCTAGGATAGGAAGGGTCAAACCACCACCAGTAACATCCGTTTTCCAAGATACCGCTTCTTCTTTCGACGAAGTAGCTCCACGTTGGTTACCAACGATCGCCAACCATGATTCTGTCGTTCTTTTCTCCTCTTTCGGCGAGAGTTGTTGCTCTTTTGATAGATTATATTCTTCGTCGAAAGAATCTTTCTGAAAGGAAACTGCAGAAACAACAGGAATTTCATTTCATCGATTATATTATCAATCTCGATGAATCGAATTTTATAATATCGAGTTAAATCTATTGTTTAATTTAAAATTTTTTTTTAATTTATAGAATCATTAATTTATACTACTACTATTAGTATCTGATTAAAATTAACTGATTAATGGAGGTCAGTTGAAAAAAATCAGTAAAGTAAAAATTATCCAATAAAATTTAAAATTTTAAAAATCTTTAATATTCCAATAAATTGAAATTAAATTCGAACGTTTTAAATTTGAACGATAATAGTCACGATATGTATTCATAATGATGCACTTATTTAATCACTTCCATTTGAATAAATTCATTCGATTTTTATTTAGTATTGGTAGATTCTGTAATCGATCCAATTGAATCAAGGTAAAATGTCGAGTCAGGGGAATTTTATAGTCACGATAAATATATTTACCAAGCAACCTAATTTAATGGGCCGATATTCGCAATACTTGGCCATTTACCGAAAACTGGGCCAAACGAAATGATATTTCGTGTCATCGATTCGGTTTTACAGGACTAAATGAGCTACTTAATATTTTTCTACGACTTTCATCACTATTTTTTTCTCCATACCGTTCCATTATGAATTCTTTGTTTACGATAAAAACATAATACATTTTAAAAGTGAAAATGAAAGAAAATAATATAAAAAAATGCAACAAGATATTTGTACCGCTCAATATGTCTCTCGATAAATAAAAATTCTAAAAAAAAGAAAAAAAAGATTGATCCATCAAATCCTTACTTCAATTTATTTTCTTCTTGCCTTTTCTCTCAATCATTCTTCTTTAAACTTTCGTTCCTTCTTTCTTTCGATTATTAAATTAAAGATTTGATCTTGTTGAAACTGTGAAGAACACTTCGGATAACGAAAACACGATATCTTACGAAATATCCGTTCTTAAAAGTTTCATCGTTAAATCGGTATTTAGCCTGACCGAACAGCCATCAATCCAAGTGCAATTATTAAAACCTGATTACGTGGCGAGTTTCAATGGAATATTTTGCTTCAGGGTCAGTGGTGTAATAGAGAAGAAGTTTGGTCGATTTAACGAGTTCGATCCTCTTATTGTCTTCACGAGTTTCATGTCGTTGCACGATAGAAGTTCCCTTTAATTAACGACGATAATACGACTATATTTAAAAGAACGAAGATCGTTTAGAGCGATTCGAGTGTGAAAGGTACCGTCAGGAATTTCCCTCGGTTCATTCTTTGAATTTCTTGCGACGAGAATTTCCTGCGACCGAGAGATCAAACTAAAACGATCGGAATGTAAATGGAGATTTATTAAATCTTGCCTGCGTGAAAATGATATAATTTCTGATCAGATAAATATTTGCGATAACTCGATTAAATTTTAAGTTTTATAAATTATAAGATAAAATAATAGTAGAATCTAGTAACAAAATCTTAAATTCTTAAATTTTTAAAGCGTATATCGTCGTTGTTGAAATTTCTATTTTTTTGTAAAGAAAAAAATAGAAAGTTTAATCAGTAAGTCGAATATATCTCTATAATATTTTAAGAAAGAAGAAATTTAATTATGATACTTTGGAAGTACTTTAAATGATTTACAAAAATTTAGAATCTTTAAAAATTTTACGAGATTCGTACTAAGATTCGAACGAAGAAAAAGTTAATATTAAGTTAATATTATGTTTTGTATTTGTCTTTTTGTTTTTTTTTTCATGCTCAAGATACTTTAAAAATGAATATTTTAAAATAATTTGCATTCCTAATTATTTCGTTCATTTACAATTCCATGATCGTCAAGCGTACATATATTATTAAATTCTTGCACGATATTCGCAAATGATCTAATTTAAAGCAGCTGCAAAAATTAGAAATTAGAGATCTTATGCGATTTATATATTTCTAAAAAAAATCCATTTTTTTTTTTTTAAATAAAAAGCATCGAAGTGTATATACCTGACTTGATAGGCCTCCTCGCGCTACTCAAGGCTGAATTAATCGACGTTTTAATTATCGACGTGGTGGGTAGTTTACTACGCAATTCGTCAATTAATTTATCATCCCTGAATGAATTTTCGATATCGCTATCGCTATCTGCAGAACTAACAAGGGATACCATTGTAACGATGTCCATTGTTCTTGAATCGATCGAATTCTTTGCACGAGTACCGGATCTATTCCGTGATTTTCCATTTTCCTCCTCATTTTTCGACGTACCTCCGCCACAAAAACGTCTTTTTGCACTTCTGGATCGTCTCTTTAATGGTGCTGATCTCACACTTCGACTCGACGATATCTAATTAATTTTCGATTTTAAATGTCAGATTCTTTTTCAAAATAAATCTAATAATAAATATTTATTCGATAAATTGTATGTGTAAGAGGTCTAAGATAACGAGATGTAAAAAATAAATTAACAGCATGAATCGAAAAATCTTATATCAGTGTGCAACATAGATGCACACTGAAGAAATAAAAAAAAAAAAAATACTATAAAAATTGGATACAATTGCATGCTTTGAACGGCGATATCTCGTTGTAAAATAAAAAAGAATTTCATAGAAATTTGATATCGTGGAAAGAATAAAATATTTCACTCGCTCTTTTCAATGATAATTCAATAAAGATAAAGAATTATATTACATTTCTTAATAAAAATAATTGTAAAAAGTATCTATAGAAATGATTTCAATAAGGATATACCTTCGTTACAGCCGTATCTATCTTTTCCACCGTGTTATATTTACAATCCATATCTTGATCTTTTTGATTACGATTCTTTCTCATTGAGTCAATTACAATATTAACATGATTATTATTATTAACCGAAATTGATTCGAAACGCCGTTGTGGCGGCGCAGAATTAGTCCTCCTTGATTTCTGCTCGGTCTTTTGATTTTCCACCGTTTTTTTTATTGGCGGATTTCTATCGTTCATCGAGTTAGGTCTCGCTTCCGAATTCCTCGAAGACGAAGATTTATCAATCGTAGAATCATCTTTGTTCTCGATGATACTTGATGATACTTGCATGTCATTTATAGACGAGATTTTTCTACAAGTCGAATTGGATTGATCCGCCTCCCTTGGCGTTATCGTTTTATCATCTTGTAAATTATCTCTATTTTCGATCATTGTTTTTATCTGCTCATTTTTATTATCCACACAATTCGATTTATCGGCTATCTTTTCTATCGCGTCTTTCTCGTTCGCAATCGAGCTACACGGAGAATTTTCTCTGGACGTATTTTTCTCGCCCGTTGTATCGTTCTCTTTATTCTCAATCGTTTGCTTTAAAAAATTCTTTTCGACGCGATTGTCGGTCGATGATTTTTGAAACGAATTTTTCTCCGATATCGAGCTCCATTTGATCTCTGATCTGATTGGGTCGAGGAAGGCTCGGTTAGTGCCGCTATGAAAACTTGCACGTTTTTGCTTAGCCGATGAGAAATCTTCCTTCTTCGTAATTCCCAAAGCTGAATTTTCTATCCTGATCGATGGTAATGTAGACGTGAGCCGATGATTCGAACAGTCAGAAGGCTGTTTTTTCTTAATAGAGGAAACATACTCGTCGATGTTTGAATTCTTCGATATTTGCTTAAATAAAGAAAATTGAAATTAATGGTGTTTCGAAATTAAAATACGCTTTGTACGCATTTAATCGTACCTCGTTTACCTGCTCCTTTTCCGTATCAACCTTCTCCCGTTCTTTGCTCTTCGCCTGTACAGAAACTTTGTTCTTCTCCAAAGGTAGAAAATTAATAGACAATTTGTCGTCGTTTCTTCCCGAAGTTGTCGCATCATTGCTTTCCAATTTTTTAACAACTTTCTCGTCTTCTTTCTCCCGATCTTCATCTTGTATCATTTTATAGCTATTGTCCAGAGGAATTTCGATCTTAGATTTGTCGTTTACAGGGGACGATGGAGCAGTGGTATGATTCGATATTTCGGAGTCACATCTCTCGTCTAAAGTTTCGCGAGCCAAGAAGATATTTATATTAGCTTTATTCTTCTCTCGATTTTGCCAAGCGAGCCTCAACCTCTCGGCTAATTCTAATCTAGAGTAAAAAATCGATGATTTCTCGATCCCGATAAATCCTCTCGATCTTCCGCTGCTAGATTTCGATCGTCCTGGAATTTGACGAGCCACCACCTCAACTTGCCCCAGTTCCTCTTCATTTCTTTGAATTTTAGGTTCCTTCCAGGCAACGCGAACCTAAAATTCATCGGCCATCTTGTCATCGATAGTGAATCGCGATTGAAATTCGAATCAAGCTTTGTCCAAAAAAAAAAAAAAAAAAATACGAATAATATCGAACGAGGATTTTTAAAGAATTTTACTTTAGGAAAAGAGCGTTGTTGTAGGAAGTGAAGGATACCTTAGGTCTCTCAGAGCCGAGTTTACATGTTCCACGCTTGCCACGTGCAAATGGACTCGCGCAGATCTGCAATGACTTTTCATCCTCCGCGGATCTTTGCCGTCTAACTTGGTGACGACGGGGCGCAGGTGGTTGCAAGGACAATTGCCTGATTGGTCTGATCGATTTTTCGGATCCTGACATTTCGATGCTGGTCATCAAGATTACATTCTATTACGATAAAACGAAATAGAAAATAGATTCACGATTTGAGACAGCAAAGCATATGTTTATAAAAAGAAAGTTACCAGAGATATTTAAATATTAAAAGAAAAGAAGAAAATTATTCGATCAGTTGTTAATAAATCGATGATACTTACTGGACGAGTTTAAGATTCATTCGAAAGGGGTGGAATACGTAAATACGATGGATGAACTTCCATCGTGGTTGCAGCGCGAGCAAACGCCGACTGACTAACTTCATCCATTGCCCTCTGACACGATCGTTCACCACCACTGCCATTTCACCGATTTATATATCTTCGCGTTACCCACCACCGCCGGTAATCGGTGCCTGTGTGCAGTGCTCGGCCACTAACACGTTACCGTTTCCACCCTCTACTCGGCCAAAGGGTGGTTGAACGATATATTGCTTCCTTTAATTCGAACGACGCTACCACACCGACACTTTGATCGTGGCACACTGTTGGTGGAATGCGAAGGGTGGTCGAACTCACTCACGTACGTTAACTCGACATGCATCGCCCCCTAATTTGCTATCAGTGGTGTAAGGTGAGACATTACGTACTTTTTCCCCCCATTCTTCTTTCATTTCGTTTATTTTCTTTCGTTCAAGCGAGAAAGCTCGAAGATTTTTCGGATTTCTTAAAAACTCTAAAATTAATAAAACTCTTCAATTGGGATATCGTTTGGATTAATTTAAATTTGCGACACGAAACATCAAGTTTTGATTCTTTCTTGATGCTTAGAAGCTTAGGATTTTAGAAATGTTGAATTTTGCGTATTCTTGAATATTCTTTTACATTTATTGATATTTGACTCGAAAAATGATAAATATCGATAATGAAATTTCTTATTTCTATTATTAAATTTAATGCAAATGATTAAATTTTAATATTTTCCTCTTATCTTTCCTGTAATAAGAATAATTAAAATTTTCTTTTGTAACGCATATTTGAAAATCTTTTATTTATTATCATTTTATTCTTTCTCTTTCTTACTTCCCCAATTATTTCTCCGCAATTATTCGCCTTCCGTCAACGTGATTAAAGATGAGCCAATCGCTCGATATTGTTCCACGAAGGCATCAACTACAACTGGATGACTCGATTTCCCGGGAACGTGTCTTAAATCGGCAAAGCCGAATTATAGCCGACAGTCACCGGGTATTATTGATCAAAACTTTACCTATCATCTGACAGCTTGTTGTCCGGTGTTGCCATGGCATCGGCGATCATTCAAATCCATTTTTCTCTCGTTCGTCTCTTTCTTGCTCGCCTTCTTCTTCGCCCGCCACCAAGTCACTCTTCAATCGCTGCGGGAGGATTTAAACGCGAAACTTTCGCCCCCGGAACTCGGCCACGTCGAATCCTTGAAAATTAAGAGAATCCCATTAGCTCTTCTACCCTTAATTGCCTCGCTTATCAACGATTTAGACGTACCTTGGCCCAGGGATGGGCAATACCGATGGATGGACGAATTGTTCATCGATTTCCGTGGATAACTCTTCTCTTCGTTTCTATCTTAAATTTTCATCGTTTCGAATATTTAAATTTTTCCTCTTCTTGTTTTAAATTGCAATTAAATCAATTAATTAATTCGAAGCTGGATACGTATAATTTAAATTATATTCAAAATAATTAAAAAAGTATAAAATATTATTGTCTGAATTGATGATTATGCGAATTTTTTTTTTATTCATTTTTTTTCATCATTATTTACATCATTTTTTTTTCTAAGGCTCATTATCGTTTCTAAAAATCTAAGTTAAGATTGTTAATATTTATTTACGAAATATCTTTACGTTCTGTATCTTTGATGGAATCGAAGTTTTTAATTTTCATTCGAGTTTATCCATCCCTGTTCCGGTTTCTGGAATGACTGTCTATCGTGCTCGATCGGGACTAGAAAGTTCGACTTGGCGAGGCTTGCCAAGAAATTTTCGAGGCTCCTCGTTTCACGATCGAGCCGTTTCATCAGGATTGATGGATGCCTGATTTGCCCGCAACACGAAAAACGGAATTATAAATTATTTTTCCAACTATTTTCTTTTTATGTTTAAAATATGACTTGAAGAAAAATCCAATAAAAAAATTGATTGATTTTTACAAACATAATAATCTAATATAATATAATCTTTTCTTACTAAAGAAAAAAAAAATATATATATATACAGAATGTCTCAAAAATGAAAAAATAATTAGATTAATTAGAGATTTCTGAGATAATTTCATTTTTCTTTGCAAAAACTTTCGTTATTTAGCTTCGTTAAGGAGTTATTAAGAAAAAACATTGGAGCACGTAGATTAGTCTAATTGTGACAGTGTCAGATAATGTCGTCGGCTGAACACGAACAAGTTCAAGCAACACGTGTCGAAAAAAAAATCTGTTGAATGTATCGAGAAAAAAAATTATTCAAGGGATCTTTGTTTTGCTACTTTTCTTTGTTATCGAGTGGAGGGAAGGAGGATGTGATTTTTGAAAAGAGGTACATTTCTTCAATAATTTAATGTAATTTTTTATCAAAAAAAAAATATCTGTAACATTTAACAGATTTTTTTCGACACATGTTGCTTGGATTTATTCGTTTATTTAACATATTTATCGTCACAGCTCGTGATTGTTTTTTGTTAATAACTTGTTAATTGTAAAATTTTAAGGAAAGTTTGTGCATAGAAAAATGTTGCTTGAAGAAAAAGAATCTCTAATTTGAATCTGCCGGATATTTCCACATTAATTCCTGAATAATTGTGCAATCTTATTATGTTACTACTTTTTATTTTATTCTTTTACAGATCTTGAAAATTAATTTGAAAGAAATGGCAAACGACAGTTCTTTCACTTTTTTGTTAGAAGATTCGTTCAGCGACAATGATAAAAGTATCGAAGATTATTCGTCGAAATTAAAAATATCCTTTAGAATAATTCAATTTCTTGTAATTTCACTTTTTCTTAAATATTGCTATTTACATTAGCGAAATGTAAATATAATTTACTGCTACTTTATTTTTCTTAATCAATGATAATGATCACGATGCTTTGGAGAATCTTGTTCAGAAATACGATGGGGAATTATTGCAACGAACATTGGAACAATCTTTATCCTCCTGCTCGGATAATTTATTAGACGAGAAAATTTTCAACGAAATTTTTCCTCTCGCTCATGATCTTTTATTCAAGGTAAAGAAGTAAAAAATATTATTTTACCAATAAATTTAATCGATTATTACATTTTTATTTTTTTTTTTATCCTCGTTCGAAGACTTTAAAGCAGATCGGTGAAATTATAAATACAAACGTGAACGAAGACACGGTGCAAGACACGAAACGAAAACTGTTCGTTTGCCACGAATTGTTAAAAATATGGGAAAAATCTATGGAACGTGTCTCGAAACTTCAGAAAACGTCTGCCATCGATCTTAAATCCATACTGGAGAACGTACTTTTTACGATTGAATTAATATTTAAACACTGTAGAGGAAGGTGAAGTGAAATTTTTTAATTTTCTGATAATCTATTAAATATTATTATACCGATGATTTTAAAAAGTTTTAACCTTTGAGAGACAAATCGATATAAAAATGTCCGCATCCAGCAATTATTTAATATTATGGATACGATATTTCGCGCAAAATATATAATGATGATTGATCCTATTTTTACGCTATAAAAAGAATGAAGAGAATTTTTTTTTTACAGTAAAAAATTATACGGTGTTTTATTCGATCACATATCGGAGGAATTAACGAATCTCTTTCGTAAAGCAAAAACGATCTTGAATCTATTCTTGGCCACTTTAGACGGTGTAATAGTCTTCGACACGGATACGGAATCGGAAACGGAACTGTTGGTAAAAGGTGAGCGATCCTATTACGTCTTAACGATTCTTTAATGCGAATCATCTTTATCTTCATCGAAGTACACCGAGTATAAAAGAAGAAGAAGAAGAAAAAAAACAATTGCTCTATTTAATTTCTCATTTTATACTCTCGATATTAACAATATGATTTAAAATTTTTATTCGTACATTTTATTCTTCATTTTACGAAGAAATCGAATATGCAATGACATTAAAAGAAAAATTAAATAATTTATAGAAATTCTTTTTAATTCGTCGTTTCGATTAAAAAAGATATTTTTCTATTCAAAACAGTGATTGATTCTATCGGATTGTTCGTCACTATTGCTCACGATTTAGACTTGAAAACGTTCGTAGAAACGTCAAAAGTGTTCGGAAAATTGGCAATTACGAAACAAGATCTTGTCAAAAGAACGAATGCTACGAGCGTCACTTCGCATCTTGCGCAATTGGCAAAAAATATATCCTCGATGTTTTCGTTCTGTCAGGTATGTTTCTTTTAAAAATATATATATATAAAATTTTATATTGCTAGATTAATCATATTTTCAATTAATCTAATCTAATATAAAAAAATTTTATATATATATATTATTGTATGATACGAAAAGATTGAATCATCGATATTATCTATTATATGTCACTTTTTAACTCGCTTATCAGATATTTTATTGATTTATATCTATTAATATATCTATAATAATAGTTCATGTTAAGTCTATAATGATGCACAATGCTTTTTTCTCATTTTTTTAAATAACAGATATCGAAAAATATTAGAAAATAACTAATAATAAAAGAGAATTTAAAAATAAGTTAAAAATTTGTATTTCTTTTTATAAAATTGTTATTATATGTATTTTTATACAATTATATTATACAATTATATTATATTATATACAGGATTCAGCTGAACGGATCGATGAAAGAAAAATAAAAGTTATTGGTCATTCGTTAAAAATTTTGGACAAATTATTCGCAACTTATTGTTCATACATAAATAATGAGATTCTTTCGTTTGTAATCGAACTTTTATTAAAAATGCACAGGTATTTAATTATTATTTTTATTTCCTTTGTCTCTTTCGTTTAATTTCAAATTTCTTTCTGCATCATTTCTTTGCAAAAATAGGTGTTCTCCGTTATGTTTGCAAAAATCAAAGATCGACGATAAATTAATCGAATTAATAAATGTACATATCTCTCGAGGATCGGAACCATTTTTAAATACAGTTTTCAAATCTTCCGATTTCAAGCAGGTTCGTCCATTTTATTAATAATAAATTTGTTTAATCACGAATATGGAATATTTTTTTCGACACTCTTAAAAAATATTTTAGGCATTTTTCGAATATGGAAATCAAGCAAACATCGATAAATTAGGTTATCACTTATTAATAGTTAGCATTATGAAAAAATTAATCAACATGCCGTACGAGCAACATTGTAAATGGACATTAGGCGCTGAATCGATCATTGATGTTGCATTAACTAATATTAATCACAGTAAGTAGTTTTTTTTTATGTATGTTTAATATTTATTAAATTTATAGATCTTAAGTTGGTTAATTTTTAATTAACCAAACTTATGATTTGAATGAAACTTATGAATCGACGATTTTAAAAAGTCAAGTTAAGAATCGAAAAGATCGGAGAAGCTTGGAATTAAACAAAATCTTGAAAATATTTATATTTGTATCCTCATAAAGTACAGGAAGAAATATTGGTGGGTCAAGTGAGATTACCAGGTGTACACGATATCGGAGAAAGACCAAGATCAGCTTCGATATATGAAGCCACAATAGTGCCAATTTGTAGTCTGATTAGTCAAATACCTGAGGATGGATTTCAAGCTATCGAATTGATTTTGTTGAAGCATTTGCTGAGCAATCAATTTTGGAGTTCCTTGCTTAGTTCGGATATTTGGTGTTTCGTTGACCGGTTTGTAAATCGCATATCTCGAATAATTCATGAATCATGATATCATATTTCATAATCGAAATAAGATTCGATTATTTATTTTTTTCTTTACAACTTTTTTTTTTTTCCTTATAAAATTTATCGCGATACCGGTTCCGATAAATTATTGAATATGTATGAATTGCGTTTGAATATGTATGATGTTGAATCCTACGTAATATCCTTATCTTTTCAGCATTGGCTCGTCGGAACTTTGCATTAGTCACGTAAAATATCTGCTAAAAGTTTATGCTGTTTTAATGACACGTAGCAATAGTTTCGAAGTCGTTATATTGGAGAATTTAATTGGAAGATTGTACAATTTACTATCAGAGGAAACGAAACATACTCTTATAACGGAATTTGATGATCTCGAAAATCCATCCTGGTTACCCGTCGCTCGATTTTTGCCATCCAAAACGAAATCATTCTTGCAAAGTCGATTAGCATGTATATTAAATGAAATCCCGACTGCCTTTGCAGAATTACAGCGGCAACCTACCGTACAAAACTGGAATCATATTGTAAATTATATTAGAATAAATTTTTCGTTTTTTTTTTCTTTTTTTTTTTTTACGAAGATTTTAATCACAATTATTTTCCACATTAAAAGACAAAGCTGATGCCATTGATCGGGAAATTGAATTACACGGAAGAAAAAAATATCATTGATATTCTCTCTCAGATATGGAACTCTATAGCAAGCACAATCGAAATTTTCGAAGGTAGACAATTGGATATATTATCGGAATTTATATTAAAGTTGTTTGTTGCTACACAGCCTCAAAAAATTCAAGATAATATTTTCTTCTCGGTATGTTCACTTTTTTCTTTCTTTTTTTATTATATAATATAATAATAATTTATACATTGTCATTTTATTAGATAATATATAATAATAATATTACATAAAATAAAATTTATTTTGAAAATTTAAATTTTGTGATTCAGTTTGAATTTTGTTTTGGATATATTCTTTTTTAATTTAAATCAACTTGTAAAAAATATAATTTTTTTTATTTTGATGTATCATAGAAAAATTATGTATCAAAAAATTGTAATACATCTTTTTATATATAATCGTGTAAAATTATATATATGCAAATAATATTTAATTATTTCAGATTATAGAAGCAATTTTAACGTCATTTTTTTATTTTCCGCCACATGTTAAAGCGATTGCGTCACATTACTTAAGAAATAATATCGATTCACTTGACAGCTGTGAACTTAAAGTTGCCAATGCGTTAGCGGAATTCAATTGTCGACTTTTAGAAGATGAAAATCCTTGGGTACGACAAGAAGCCTTTGAATCATTCGATCATGTGGCCCATATGTGTCCGAACGAAGATCTTGTTACTAAAATGGCTGCTGCAGTTACGAAAAAATCGTTATTAAAAGATTCTTTGCCGGCTTATTTATCTGGCACGATTTATTATGAACTTCAAAATTTCTCAAATATTGAAGATTACTTGCAACATATAGGAAAACATTTGCAAGACATCTACCATGTTTGTAATAATTATGAGGATTCTCAAAGGGATGAAAAACTTCCTAAGTTGGAAAGTCATTCCATCGAAAGTTTTGATGAAAATCCATCTATAAACGATCTTGATGAACACGTGAGCAGAATATGCGACGAATTGAATGATATTTTAAAAAAGAATAATGATATCAGTAATCATGTTTTACGAAGATTGCAACTAGTTTGTAAGAAAATTCTGGATCTAACTGAATCTAAATAAATATATTTTGTAGATGAAATAAGATAAGATCGCACATATTAAAACGTATATAAATGTATTAGTACATATATGTACTTAAAAGAGTATTAATATTATTTTTTTTATATATTTTACTTAAATTAAGTATTATTATATATTATATATTATAATAAGATAGCCAATACATCCTCTAATAGCTGATCCCACAAAAATCATGTCCAATTTATTTCGTTCCGTTTTATTAAATCATTTTGTTTTATTACAAAAATGTTAGAGAATATCTTTCGGAATATTTTTTATTTATTATTGAAGCTTTTACTTTTTTTTATACATGATTAATATATATTAAGATATAAATATTAAGATAACATAACAAGTATTTTTATAAAGAAAATTAAAAATATAATTTATAAATTAATTCAAAAAATGTACTGAAATGATTGAATATGATGTTTAATATCCTTGATAAATATATATTACATAAAGTAAAGGTATATTGCATAAAGTTATTTATAATTATGTGAATATATAGTATATTATATAATATGCATACGGAAATGTGTGTGAATAAATATATATTATAATATAATTAATATATTATATGATAATATAATATAATATAATTAATAATATAATATAATATAATTAACATATTATATATGATGGAAATGATAATATAAAATTATTAAAAAATAAATTTTAATTGATATCTTATATGAAAAATAATGATATGATATATATATATATCTTATATCTTATACAAGATCTTATATATTTTATATATCTTATATTTTTATCGTTAATATTTATTTTTATTTTCAATATATATATATATATATTTTATAGTAAACTAAAAAAAAACTAGTAACATCCAATGAAATTATCTAATACTTTTACTTGCATAGCTTTGGCAGTATAGATTCTAAGTATAGTTTCTGGTTTACTTTGCGTTATCGTTAAATGTGTTTAACATATCATATGGTGATATACATATATTATATAAAGAGTTTTATATATTTACACATTTAAGATTTTTTATTTTTCTTCTATATTATATGATAAAATTAATTATTTTTGTAGTGCAGTTTTTGTAGTGCATATTTTAACTTATATAAAATTTTTCAAGGTTTGAAGTTTAAGTTTAAGTGCTATTATATAATTTTATATATAATTTTATAATAATCTAAAATAATGAATGCAAAAAATACATGTCGATATTTTATATTATATCTAGATGCAAAATTTGGAATTAAAGAAAAATTTATCTAATGATAGAGTATTTAATGCAATAAATAAAATATTTATATCATTAGAAGATGAAGATATACATAGAATTAATAAGTCTTTATTACTGGTATGTTTTTATATTATATATTATGATATTATATATTAGTTTATATATTATAATATATATTATATAATTGTATTATTATATATAGTTATATGTATATTATATATATATAATGTATATTATTATATTATATTATATATTTTATTATATAATATTAATTCAATAGGTGATTCAAGCTATGATAAATCTCATGAAATCAGAGGATTCATTGTTTAAAATAGCATACCAAGAAATTATTTTTATAGGTAGTTTTTATAAAGGAACAAAAATAGAAAAACCAAATGAATTTGATTTAAATATTATTTTAAAATTACCTTTTAATAATAAACAAATAAATGTAAGAATA